TGGATAATGGATTTGGAACCAAATATTTCTATGTGCAAGGCCGTTTGGGGCATGATGCATTAAGAAACAAGTAACAATATGAAATTGCAACTCTTATGTTATTCATGTCTTGCTGTTAGTGATGTTTTTAGTGCACTGTCAGCAACGGCTCACGAGAGGGAGCTCCGAGAAAGCTTCACGTATTCCTGCAGTCAAAACAAAACAAAACTAAAAATCCTAATATATCTCCCTATATATTATAAACCCCGCTCTCTCCAAACATTTACATTCCCTGGCTCTAAGCCTTCATGTCAAAAATTCAGTTTCACCTTCCCATATTTTTTCTGTGTCTAGAAATTGGCCACGTTCTCTGGAATACTCAACCAAATTTTATAATTGCTCTTTTTTAGGCGTAGGCAATGCAAATGATTTATTATATTCTAATCAAGTTAAGATTTTCAAAACTGAAACGTTTTCTATAAATAACCTTTCAAAGAGTGGATTAATAATGACAATAACTGTAAAGGAATTTTCTCCCCTTTCTTTAACAGGAAGTGGTTTTGATCTTGAAATTATCTGCTGCTTCCTGATTTAAAACAGGTACTCATTCTTATTTTCTCTGTAAAAAATTAAATACGTCACCATATCTTTTGCTATATTCATATTAGCACTTTAATTTAATTGCTAGCAATTGCACACTCTTTGTATTTTCATTATCTTTACTAATAATAAAATACATGTGCCATTAAAGTAGCTTTTCTAAAGGAGATATTTCCATTTATTCACGTGTATTACTCTTCCTTTCCTTCTCACTCTGACTGATGTGTTCACAAGAGGGAATGTTTTAAAAATTTTAATTTAGAAAGAATTTGTTCAATTACATGAGGTGTCTTTGTTTATGTTTGGCTTATGCACCTTCAGTGTCTTAAGAAGATATTCATTGAACAGCTTTTTTAGTATGGCTTATTTAAGGTCCTATTTAGTGCTTAATAGAAAAAAAAATGCTATTTAAGAAGGTTGATTGGAAGGAATATATGCAGGTATGTTAATTATGGAACAGAGTATATTGCATGTGAATTCCTGATTGAATAGCTAGTAAGTAATTTGGCCAATATTCTTCTTTCCTCTGGTAAGTGTCTTTATCTGGCTGGTTTATACCTACTTATTTTCAGGTAAAGTTTTACTTTTAAAGTGAAAACAAGCTTTTAGACTTGTGGAGGCTATTTCTAAGCATACACAGAACTTGTCTGAAAATCTGCTTTTATTATTATTATTGAAATAACAGTCATTAAATTTTACTTACGTGTAGAAATCAGGATAAATTATCTGATCCAAAATGGTCCTCTTATGAAATGTTGATTTTATTAAATGTTTTGAAATTATGTTCCATGAAAGAGAAAGGTGTATTTAAAGTAGCTGTAGTACTATTTAATTTTAAAATAAATAAATAAAAAAATCTTTCTAAAATTTTTTAGATTTACAAAGCACTAAAGATGGGTAAGTATTTTGGAAAAATAT